ATCAGTAATCTAGTTCTCACACATCAAGCATGCAAACCAGTCACTCATATGAAGGCTGAAAAAGCAGCAATTTAAAGAGAAAATGAGTCGCAACCTGTCAAATGTTATACGTTAACCTGTCATCCTTTTAGCTACATCTGACAACTTTTCAAAATTCCACTCTGACAAAGCATGAAGCTACCTGAAGGCAACATTTTACAATCTGCTACATGTCATAGCAGGAATTATAATACTATGCCAATATGGCAATGACATTTCCTTTAATTGGGTTATTTGCACTGTGATTAAAGGCTGCATACGACAAGTGCAATAAAGGACAGACTTATATAGGATGGAGTATATCTCATGATGTCTATTACTACAGATTTATGGGATTAGATGTGACTGCGAAGCCAATCAGACATATGCTGGATTTCAATAAACTGTGGGCCTGCACTGAATCCATAAATCTATAATAATTAACCAACTGACGGAGTTATATGCCAGTGCTGTTACAAATCTTATCAAGTAGAAAGAGAAAACAGACATATATCATTAATGTCAAAGCTAAAACGGTGCTGATCATGTACAGACGGCTCCACAAACTATTAATACATGCACACCTGTACAGGTTCTGATTCAAATGGCTTCTTATCCTCAGTATGTTTTAATGGAATTTAGATTGAACTGCTGTTTTATTTCTGAATAAAGTGAATAAAATCTGAAATCTCTGAAGATCTCCTGACCCTACAATGACAATTTATGCTTTAAAGGCTAACCATCCCTTTCTAATCATCCGAAAGACCGCAGCGATTGTAACAGCCAGACTTGTAGAAATGTCTTTAAAGTGCTTTGAGCCTACTTTAGTACATAAAAAATAAACCTAATAATAATAATAATCTCAAATAACCCTGTAAAATATCCTGCAAAAGAGGAGGACTACCCCCTAAGGCAGTGGTTCTCAAACTTTCTGAGCCACGACCCCCAAGACAGCATAAGTTTGTGTTCATGACCCCCCAGTTAGAATTTTTAACATATCATCAGTAATAACTGTGTTGTTCATGAATTAATGCGTTAAAGATGAATGCTTTAATTCCACAGATTCATCTCTTTACATTAACACGTTAATTTTATTTTTGATGAATGAATGAATTAAATTTATTTCGAACAAATGAAAGAGAAAAAAATATATAAAACAAAAGAAAATCGTTTTAAAAAGAGCAAAAAAGAATAATAATATGGCATAATCACAAAATAATATTAACAAGCTCAAAAAAAGAAGTGGGAAGAATATACACTTTTAATTTTGACAGCTCTAATACACATTTATTTGATTAATTTAGGCTTTATTTATTTATTTATTTATTAAATGATTATTCGATTAATCTTTGTGTGTGTGTGTGTGTGTGTTTTCTTTTTTTTAAAGAAACATCTAAATTACAAGAGGGTGGATTCTGAGATGTGTGTGGTAACCCAGAAGAGCAACAACTTGGCCTGGGAAGTTCACAGTGAAGAAAGTGTGAATGTAATTTGGGCTGCCACAGCACTGCAGAGCCTCAGACAGGAACACAGCAGAAGAGGCTGGACTCGGAGAGTGTGGAAGAGGAAAAGCATATAGGCAAAGAAGAGACACATAGTCCTCCAAACAACAGCTCCATCTAGTGGTCAGGACTGGTACATTAACAGAACTAAAAATGTTGACTGCGTGGTGACACTTGAGCTGAATTGTAATTTTGCCTTCCTGGGAACTTAATTGAGATTTTGTTGGGGGAGCTCTTCAATTAAACTGAAACACACAGCTCAAATGTTAAAGCTGTAAGAAAAACTAAAATATAATATGGTCCAGGGTAAAAATACATTTAATCAATTTAGGTAGAGCAGATTTTTTTTTTAAAAAGTGAATCAAAACCAGGATGATCGCTCCTTGACACAGTTTTGCGCCTGTGTCTGTCTGAAATCAAAGTCTACTATTCATAACCCAAAACCCTTACCTGTCTCTTTCACTATCGCCTCACAAACTGGAAAACCAGACACAAAATTCATATCAACTGATGGACAAATCTCCTGAAAGATCACATAACCATGGAACAAATCACAACTCAACCCCAAAACCCAAACCCTGAAAAAGCTAGGGACCCCTTCATTACTGCACTAGGATTACCTGCCAACTCACCCCACCAACACTGCACAACATGACACACCTTTACACACTCCCTTGCACACACACACACACCCCACAATCTGTACACAACACCTCACAGCCCCCCATGCATCCTCGAAGCAGTTCATCACTTCACAATGTAATGCTTTGCTGTGTTTGTCTGGTTGTTTGATTTGTTAATGAATTCTTGTATGTTCTTTTTTAATTATT